GTGATATGATATACATGAAAACAAACACAAAGGAACATAAAATAAAGAGAGACAGCATAAAATAAAGAGAGACAGCTACACAGTGTCAGCACTCTCTCTGGAAATATTCATGAACCTTGCTTGTTGATGTTGGTCCCCCTACCCTCCCTCCCCATCTCCACTGTCCCTATTATGAGAAACACAACAAGGTAAGATCACAGCATCAACCCTAATCATAGCCAACTGTTGCACTGTTACACCAAGGTTAGATAGCAGATATCTCTTTTCTTCATTACTTTACCACTGCCAGCAGATAGCAGTGTTCTTCCTTTCCACATCAACCCACCGTTTTGAGCTCCAAAGTATATATAAAGCTCGAGTCATGGTTTGGCTATGATGAATAGCAGATTCCTGGGCAGGAAACTTTTTGCTGTCTCGAGTCGGATGGCATGGGAAGTGCTCCATGTCGTTCCAAATAAAAAAGCAATAAAATAATACAGTAACTCGTCAACAGCTATATATATAATACATGAACGTCATTTTCTTCATAACACAACCACCAATGCAGTTTTCGCCTTCATTGGCATCTTGACATTAACAAATGCAATCATTAACTCGCGGTTTTGTCCTGTAAGGTGTGTCCAGATCTCCTCTGGATCACTCTAAGCAATCACCAATGCAGATTCTTGGGGAATGCTAGTCTCCTCCAATGAATAATGTATAACAGCAATAAACACGCACAAGTGCATTGTTGTAGTTTTTGGCAGGGTGGAGTGTCGTGTCCCCGCGGTGTTGTAAAAAGTATCACAAGCAATTATTAATACTTCTTTGATAGTCGGGTTGACTAAGTTCTTATGAACAGTTTAGGATTTACTGTATTTATGTGTAAACATGTACCATGCAATTTGATTTTAACATGGTAGAACTCTTTGCTTATGTAGAAGTTGATATATTATTGAATTGAATCATGTTAACTCTTGTGTTTTTTTATATATATTTATATATAATTTCTTTCTTATTTAATATTTATTAAAAATTTAATAATTGTTGTAGTTTTTTCATAACATGCACACATACATATTAAGGAGTTATTTGAAAATATTTTAGCGGTTGTAGTTATGGTTGTGGTTGCGTTTAAAATATTTTTTTAAAAGAAATATATTAAAATAATAGTTTTTTATTTTTAAAAAATTATTTTTGACATTGACACATCAAAACAATACAAAAAAATAAAAAATTTAATTTTAAATAAAATATTAAATTTTTAAAAAGTACGGTTGGAACCGCAATCCTAAACACTTCCTATATCCATAAAAAAACACATAATTCTATTTCTAAGGGGTGTTGGATTTACTTTATAAAAATTACCAGTTTGAGTTTCATAAATTCCATCGCCACACAAAGTAATCTAAATATTTATTAACTCTCGCACAGAACAGAAACACAAAAACGTAGAATTATTTAAGATACATGTGCAAAGTAATCTAAATATTTATTAACTCTCGCACAGAACAGAAACACAAAAACAGAATATAATAATAATAATAAAAAACAAACAAACCATGTTTCAGCAATTTTGAAAGCCACATCCTTGAACCAAATCATCACCCAATATTATTCTATGAGGAACACGTACAAAGTCCAAACCGAATAAGACCAGATAATCAGTTCAATCTTCAACCAAAGTTTGGCGAGGTACAAGCACAAGTGGGAATGAATACGAAGAGATTCGTCCCTAGAAAATACAAAGTATGACAAAACAAGATATACAATGATTCGTATATATCAAACAAGTCCATGTGATTACCCTCCGACGTAACAAAACAATCACAAGTTTCACTGTTTTCATAAAACCCACTTAAAATTCATAAATAAAAACATACATAAACAACAACTTGAAAACTTGCATCACCGTTGGAATCACTACACTCTGTCGATTCCCTAGGAGGCCTAGCTTTCAGACCCGGAGAAACAGCAGACCAAATGGGCTCCTGCTGTAGCTGAACAAGCGGGCAGGAGAGGCGAGTGATATTTTGCCAGCCATGTGAGCATCAAGTTTAGCGATATGCTCCACCTTGGCTGTTTGTTGAGGAATTAGTCAGGAAACGGGTGACTGTGGGGATGAGAAATTAGGGATCAGGGAAGAAAGAAGCCTTTTTACACCTGGGTTTTTTTGTTTGATTGATTTAACTGAGAAATCTAGAAAGAACTGAGATCCAATGCCAGGCATAATTTTTTTATATATATGTTACGATCGAGATATATATACCGTTAATTTATTTTGGCTAGAACAAAATTTAATTCACAACCTTGATGAACAGTGCTCGTGTGCTAGGCTGAGAGTAAGATTTTAAATTAATTCCTGACATAAAAGAAGGAAGCTTTGCACTGTAAATATGTTTTGAAATATCATAATTCTTTTAATTGATAAAAAGGATATTGTTAATTATATAAAATAAAATAAAAAGCTTTTAACTCTAATTAAAATATAAAATGAAAAGCTAATTTTCATATTAAAATAAAAGGTTGTTGATTTCTTGGATTTCTCCACGTCAACTCAATAAAGAAAACTCAAAAGAAATTGTCGCATGAAAAAATCAACTTTGTTAAATTATATAATGATGTAGTGGGAAAAAGAAGAAAAAAGAACAGCACGATTCACAAAGTAGCAGGATTATAGACCCACTTTTCCAACAAAAAATATTGCTAGGAAATTATTGCTAGAAGATTCAAAAGATTCCCACTATTCCATGCAGTAAACTAATTTATGAGCATTTTATGGTGTTAGAATTTTGATATTTTCTTCGATTATTTCAATATCTTGTAATTAATATAGGAAATGCTATTGAAATTTTTTTTTGGGACTCGATGACGAATTGAGTGCATCTTCAATTTGCCCTAAATAAGATTTTGCACCAAAATGAAAGGAAAAAAAATATCCCAATTAATTTTTATAAATTTTAAAATTAATTTCTAATTTCCTATATTTATTTATTTTTATTAATATAGAGTGTTTGAGTTAATTTATACATATCTCAATTAATTTTTATAAATTTTAAAATGAAAGGAAAAAAAATATCCCAATTAATTTTTATAAATTTTAAAATTAATGACTAAATAAATTTTTATTCACCATTAATATTAATAACTTTAGGACCCAATAGACCACCAAACCATTGCCACCGAAAAAACAAAGTCTTTAATTAAAGGATCATTTTTATCATTATTGTCGAGAGCAACAAAAGGAAGGAAGGTTAGGACCTACAGCATTGACTTAAGAGTCTCTCTTTCGTTTTCCTTGCATGACCAGAGCACAGAAAGACAGGCTCTTCAGTCATGTCGTGCTTTGCAAATTTAGATCAAACCAAAAAGCTCACCCTCCTCGAAATTTCTGCTTTGTTCTCTTTATGTTTTTTATATTACTAAATACTCCCGACCCACCACCCAACAACCCCCCCCCCCCCCCCCCCCCTCTATTGCTACATCTTTGTAGTTTTTTAAAAAAGTTAATTTAGTTTTTTTTAATATTTGTTAGTAAATAATATTTTGAACTATACCAGCATTTTGAGTGAGATGTCAATGCAATTACATGCTTTGATTACATGTTTTGCGACATTCTAAGAAATCATCTCTATTGCACATGTTTTGCGACATTTCTTTAACCTTAACACTACTATAAAGATTGTTACATGTAGAGAGAATTCCATCCGAATTTTCTTGTTGCAATTTTTTTCAAATACATTATAGAATTTTATTTGATTGCAACCGAGCAATTTTTTTGAAAATTAGTTTATATTACCAAACATTTTATTTGCAGTTTAAGTATTAATCATAAAAAAAATATGAGAGTATTAACTTAAATTATCAAACAGTTTAAAAGCATGTTTCACTATACCATAGTAGCAATTAAGTTTTAAAAAAACTATCAAAAAATTATTTTTAATTAAATATTAATCCGTATTTTTAAATATAAAACCCACTAAAAAATAAGATAGAAACTCAATTCCAAAAAAAGCATCTTGCACAAGTTTTTCAAAAGTTCTAACCTTAATTTTTTCTCTTAACCAACAACACAAACTATCAATGAGAGAGAAAAAACCATTATAAAAAAATCCTTCCAAAATAACTCTTCTTTTCCACAATAAATTTATTTGAAGTGCTACACACATCTCTTAAAATTCTTCTCATCAGATTTATTTAAACCACGTTCATCTCTATTTTTTATTTGAAAATTATATTTTTGTTAAAGAATTGATAGAATCCATCAATTGATTATTAAATTCTAGTAAAACCCTGTTTATCCCCTTTTATCATAATTTTATTTAAACCATATATGCTCTGTCATAACACATATTTATCTCTCTAAAACCCTTCTTCAAACCCCACAATTTATCTTATTCTTCCTTTAAAACCCCTACATTTTTTTCTCTCCATGACACAAGAATTCCTATATGCTATCAGCCCAGATGGAAAATTCTACCTAAACACAAACACAACAAATAGTTAAAAACTATATTAATAATCCAATCTATAATATTTTAACTAAAAATCTATAAAATTAATACATATATTTTTTAGTTATTTTATTTTTAAAATTACTTTCAAATATATTTTTAACCAAACATTTTTAAACTGTTTTTTTATTTAATATTAATTTCGGTCATAGTTTTAATCAAACATATATTTTATCAAACCAAACACAACTAAAAATGCTTTTTTCTAAATTATTTTTTTAAACTACAATTACAAAAACTACTATAATATCAAATACATATTATAGCTCAAGACATTGGGTTTTTTTCCTTTTCAAATAAAATCTATTAACTTTTCTCGGAGGTAATTTGGTTTTTTTTTCTTATCATGGTTTAATCATCATTGTCAAATTAATTGGGAACAAATTGGTCTTCCTGCTTATTTTACAAAATAAAATGACTTATTTACCCTTCAAAGAAAAATATATATATAATTAGCCTTCATGGGATTTTTAATTTTTATTATTATTCTAAGAACAATAAAATAACTTAATTACTCTTAAAATTATAAAATAATTAAACTGACATCAAGATATTTTTTTTTTATCTTTTCATTATGGGTTTTTTTTGTTACAATCATGTTGACTTAAGGTCATTTTGATATTTTAATAAATATATATTATTTTTAAAAAATAAAAAATAGTTGGTTTGTGCAAGACAAGCCCCAGCGTATGAGAGAGACCCACATTTTTCTAGTTACAAGCGCAGCCCCAAAAGATGGTGCTTGGAGGTAAGACGTCTGACACGACTAAAATATTGATATCTTCTCCCAAGTGCAGGAGTGTCGAAGTAATAAATAACCCAGCAAGACCGGGGTCGAACCACAGGGAGGTTAATTGTACAAATTATAAACAACAATTATAAAACAACAATAACAACAACA